TTATCGTATTACTTTGAACTACATGGTCTGTTAATGCTTGTATCAATGTTGAAAGGCAGCTACAAGAAACGTTGATGAAAATTTTTGGAAAAGAACCAGTCATTATTGAATATAATACGAAAAACGGAAATATTTACCTCTGTAACAGTCGCCAACTTAAGTCACATATGAGGCTAAGAGAAAAAGGGCCCTATAACTATAGGCTCAAGAGTCAGGGACACTATCTCTTGTGTTTTTCTACCACATGCGGTCGAAGCTAATTCGGTTCGCTTATGACATGAGACTACAAACCGTGTTACAGCTTAAAGGCTACTACCAAAATCCCCCCACTCTAGAATAGAAATAAGAATACTCCCATGGTCAGGTCTCAAAATACCTAAAACACGCGAACGCCATTAAAAACAGGGTCGGAACATAAGCATACCGTTAATTTTAATTGGACAGTGGACCTTTGATCCATTTCAGATGGATCAACCTACAAACTGGCCTTAATTCAAGATAATCACATAAAATGCATTCAAGAAATTTAAATTAGGTACTCACATACCAACACGACCTCTAGAACTGAATAACTACTAATGGTAAGGCAACTCTAGAACTGATTTAAAGTAATTAAGATTAACTCGAGAAATATTGAAGAATTAGGTTTTAAATCAAGAAGTTTTTCTCTCCAGACCATTGTTAGCTTCCGCTCTAAATCTTTCCGCTCAAGTATCACTCTGTTTCAATTGATGGTTCTTCTTTATCGCTTTTCTCTAACTCTTGATTTCCTATCGGGAACAAGAAAACTCTCCTCGTGTCGTATAATTCTGGTAAAATTGCGAATATTAGTTCTTGTAAAATTACGAATTTTAAGCCTCTTTGTGGTTTCAGATGCACCAATACTGCGCAAAGTAATTAAAAGTGAAAACAATAGAAGCCAGCTAAGAAAAACAATAAAAACAAGAAAAATCATTGTACTCAAAATGCAAAGACGACAAGGGCCGTCTTTCGATAAAAAAAAGTCTGTTACCTGAATGTCACGCGTTTTTTCTCCCCCCTTTTTAACGTTCTTATGGGGCGTTCACCTATTGCGTTCCAAAAACCGTCTATTTCCAATCACCCGAACCAATCCGGCCAGGTTATATACCTTAATTCGAGTTTACTACCCGGTACCTTCGCGTTCCAACTCTTGTTCTGAGTCTTTAACTAGATCGTTCCTGACTATAGTCAATCAAATGTAACTAAATTGATTGTATAGTTACTGTAAAGAAGCCCCCCTTTTTACAATTTCCAACCACTAACCTCTATGTAAACCAGCCCCCTTCTAACCTCCCCCCTATCTAGCCCCCCACTTAAGCCTAAAGTTACCCTAAGCGCGATGGGTGCTAAACCTTTCGAGAGAAATACGTAGAACCTGTTTCCAAGCTCTGCTCAAGTAAAAACGTTTTCTCAAAACAGTGGGTACTCGCTTACTCAATTTTACACTTATCTCCTATTGAGTAAAAGGGTTTTTAACGATACCCGTTTGACGACACAGAACACCCTTGTGATTTCTTCCCTGTTCAACGTTGCTGATTTGATCGAGACGATTAGTCTTATTTGAAAACAGTATGAGTATACTATTTTAATTTATATAAAGCTTTGATTCACCTAATCTGGGAATCAAAGCGACTGTCCTCGTTGAAATTTTTAACGTTATTTGTGCCTGTCTTTAAGCTTTCTCATATTTTATATTCGTTTTTCGTCTTTTACTCGTTTTTCGTCCCTCTATTGGACCCCTTACTCGGTTAGCTAGGCCTCGTTTCGGAAAGTGCACCGGGAATATTTCTCGAGTTTTCTTAAAAAGCTATCAAGTTACAACCAGAAGGTGGACACGTTCCCGTTGAACCGAACCACCAGTACTCTGAAATGGACATATAGTCCGGAGCTGCGTCAAGTGGGTTCGATCCCTTAGTCTTGATGTCGTAAAAACACCCAGGAGCGCCATAAAAACACTACGTAACAGTCCCCTACTTAGGTCACATATGAGTCTGAGAGATTTAGGCCCTATAAACTTTGGCTCAAGAGTCAGGGACACTATCTCTTGTATTTTTCTACCACATGCGGTCGGAGCCAATTCGGTTTGCTTGCGACATGAGACTACAAACCGTGTTACAGCTTAAGGGCAACTACCAAAATCCCCACTCACTCTAGAAATAAGAACACCCCCATGGTCAGGACTCAAAATAGCTAAAACACGCGAACGCCATTAAAAACAGGGTCGAAACATAAGCATACCATTATTTTTTCTTGGACAGTGGACATTTGATTCATTTCAGATGGATCAACCTACAAACTCGCCCTTACTCAACATAATCACAAAAAATACACTCATGAAAAATAAATTAGGTACACACATACCGACACGAATTGAATAATTAATAGAGATTGTGTCGGTATGTGAGTACCTAACTTAAATTTCTTGGATGTTTTGTATGTGATCATGTTGAGTTAAGTCGAGTTTGTAGGTTCATCCCTCTGAAATTGATCAAAGGTCCACTGTCCAATAAAAACTAACGGTATGCGTAGGTTCCGACCCTGTTGTTAGTGGTAGCCTTTAAGTAGCCTTATTAGTGGTATTTTGGCAATAGCCTTTAAGCTGTAACACGGTTTGTAGTCTCATGTCGCAAGGGAACCGAATTAACTCCGACCGCGTGAAGTAGAAAAACACAAGAGATAGTGTCCCTGACTCTTGAGCCAAAAGTTATTGGGCAACACTTTGTCGAAGGGTCCTAACACTTTGTCGGAGGGTCTCAACACTTTGGCGAAGGGTCTCAACACTTTAGCGAAGGGTCCCAACACTTCAGCGAAGGGTCCCAACTCTTCGGCGAAGGGTCCCAACAATTTAGTGAAGGGACCCAACACTTTAGCGAAGAGTCCCAACACTTTATCGATGGGTCCCAACGTTTTTTCGAAGGTCCCAAAACTTTGGCGAAGGGTCCCAACATTTCAGTGAAGGGTTTCCTATCGTGAACAAGATAGCTCTACCCGTTTCGTATAATTCTGGTAAAAGTACTCTTGATTTCCTATCGGTAACAAGATACCTCTACTCGTGTCGTATAATTCTGGTAAAATTGCTTTCTAGCAACTCTCCCGCGATTATACCTCGAATCTTCTGTCTGACTTTTTCTCGTATTTTCAGTTGTCGCGAGAAAATTTAGGATGATAAGCTCCATTCGAAATTTAAAAAAATTACTTTTGTTCCCAAAAATCAAGGTTAAACGTTCAACTCAAGGTCAAACTGCCAAATATGACCGACTGGCACACTCGTACAATTTGGCAAACCATACCTAACAAAATTATACTGAAGTTACTGCTACAAAGACTACTCTGAAGGCAACTTATGTTCCAGGGCTTTTTTATGCAACTGTGGACATTGCAACATGGTGCAGAAAGTCAGCTCTGCCGTCAAGTGATGGGTGCAAACCCTTGTGTAAAACACAGAAGCCTAAACCCTCTCTCTCTCTCTTTGATACCAATTCAAACAATCCTCACTGCCTTATTCTGAAAGTCGTCCTTCAATTTGGTCTCTTTTTTTTATCAGAACGAAGTTGCGCAATGGAGTGCAATTTGCAGCACCCGGGGATGCTAGAGATAAAAAAGTACCGGAACAATAGAACATTTCATAAGTGCTTTTCTAGAGAGGGTTAGATTTCACACGGAAATCGTTTATGATACTTTCGTCCTTGGCTACGTTTATAGTTTTCTTTTTGTGATATAGATGCATAAATAATATGAAGTTGGTATAGACCTATTCAACCGAGACCGTCATGGACCCTCGTATGCGGAAAGGCACCTTTTAATTGACCAACCGAAGCTGCCATCCGATCATTAAAGCTACCTAGAATGGTCTAAGGAAACATCACTAGTACTGGAATCTCAAGATCCTATCACAGCAGTAACACAGCATATGCACACATATGTACGAAAATCAAAAATTTGAAAACTGATAGAACAAATCGAAAAAAAAAGCCTCATTGACTCCTTAAATGAAAGAGATAAATACGCAATCGACCTGGCCTATGAAAAGGGAGCCTATAACTGGCTCAATGCTTTACCACTGAGCAGATACAACTTCAACCTGAATAAGTCAGAATTCAGAGGTGGTATTTACTTAAGATACGGATGGGAACCAACCAAAACCCCACTCACATGTGCATGTGGTGCTAATTTTAACTTGACACATGCGCTTCACTGTGCAAAGGGTGGTTACACACACATAAGACACAATGAAATTAGAGACACGTTCGCCAACCTCATGAACGAGGTTTGCCATGACGTCGAGATTGAGCCGCAACTTCAGCCGTTGCAAGGCGAAAGCTTTGTCAACAATTCAACTACAACTGAAGATGAGGCACGACTTGACAATAAAGTAAACAGATTCTGGGGTTCACGATTTCGCCGCGATTTCTTTGATGAGAAAATTTTCAACCCCCATGCCATAACATTGCGAAAACTGCATAAAGACGCGAAACGCTGATGTCGAAACGCTGAAGAACTTCAAATATCAGCAAAGAGTTTAAACGTAGAGCAGAGAAGCTTCTGCCCGCTAATTTTCGGATGCACTGTTGGCGCTGCTCCGACAGCCACGCGGACGATGCAGTGATTAGCCGAAAAACTAAGTGAAAAGAGACCAGAAAGCTACCCAGAATCGATAAACTACATAAGAACTAAAATAAGCTTCGCGGTACTAAGAAACTCTATACTTTGTATAAGGGGCTGCAGATCGCTGCGCAAAATTCAGTTTATCGACAACTCCATAAGCGCTATTGTAGAGGAAGGACGGCTAAGATAAATTAACATTACGACGATGCATTTAATGCTGATTTATGACTTCATTGCTGATATATATGCATTTTTATATCGCTGGTATGACCCTATCCAGCTTGTGCACTTACCGTAACTAAACGGAAGGGCCCCTTTTGTAATTTAGTTTTTTTTAATTGACCTTTTATTCTAAGTATCCTCATTCCGTTTCAGAATCCTTGTATGGTCCTTGATCATTGGTTTCTATAATCATCTACGACTTTGGAAGCAGCATCTGAAACAGTGTAAGTTACGACACCGAAATATTCCAGAAAATATTATAGTATCTGAATCAGCAGATAGTCATTATCTACACTTTCAGATGCCACCGTAATGATGAATGAAATTGTCTAATTTAAGGAAATAGTCTTAAACCTGTAGTCTTAGACCAATTAATTGTCATTCAATATTCTCGTGATAATTTCCTTTGATTCTAAATAATTTTTCAGTGCTGTGACGACAATTCGGCCTTGGTATGACCATGTATACAACAAATAGTTTTCTGGAATCAGCCAACCACAATCTAGCCCAGCTTTCGACCTCTTGTTCACCGGTTGTCTCCTTGGAATCAGGTTTTGGCTCTAATCAGGTATCTGGTGCCCGACCTCAAGGACAACAACTCACTAATCAAACAATGATGTCGTCGCCACCTGTTGATGATCACAATGCACTGCCGTCTTACCAATCCCAATTTCCTCCATTGAACACAAATGGATATCAAACCAATGGAACCAGCAGCCACCCGACTCCTGCTGTAATGTCTTACGGCCATATTGCAAATGGTGATGCGAATCATACTGCCTCTTCTTCACCATTTGGGTCTACGACTTATCTGAATGGAGCGAGTGAGGCTAGTGAAGCTCCTCATGCGCCAATGGGACTCATAGAAACTACTCAAGTGCGTTATTTGCTTAACTGAAGTTCTCATTTTTTTTGTCCCCGAAATTATGTTTAAGTTACTCAATTTGACCATCCAGAGTTTTTAATGTTAAATCAGACACTTTAAAAAACGTCAGTTGTTATTTTAGCCTTGTAATTAGAATTGTTACACTTGCGCGTCTTGTAATCGGGAACTAGGCTTTTTTCCCGGAAACATCTTTTCTTACAAATCGTACTTGCGTATTATTGAAGCTTAACTACTTCCAGATTCGTTCCCGTTTGGCCTAGAGGTATCGTGGTTGCTTTTGCAACCTATGGCCGTGGGTTCGAGTACCTGCCGGACCCTGTTTTTTTTCCAGAATGTATGAAATTGAATTTTTGTCCATTAAAAGTTTTGTTTGTCGGCTTAGTTTTCACATAACGGATTATTCTTGTGCTGTAAGCATTTTTCATTATAGTTATTACGGTACTACTATGATAGAGTGGTCCCTTGAAAATAACCAGGTCCCTTGAGAATACGACACCTAGAGCTCTCAAATCGTTTAATAATTATGAATACGCCTTTCAGAAAGATGTCGCAGTATATTTTCAATTGAATTTCATGTTTTGTTACCTCTTAAAACCTCCCCCTCACCATTTTAATGTTGAAAATTAAAAAAAAAACGCCGATAGTGGGTTTTGATGACAAATAAGTCAACCCAATTATATGGTTGTTAAAACTTAAAATAAAGTAAAGCGAGCAAATTTCAATATATAAACAATAGTTATTTACGATTTTCAGTCTGAAAAGTTTTTGGCTGAACATATTTTGCAAGATTTTTGAAATGAATAATTTATACACAAATTAGTTTTCAAAATTATAACATGCGAAATGCACGCGGGACCTGTCTATCATAGTTGCTTTTTCGAGGGACCACTCTATCATAGTAGTACCGTTATTACTTTTTTGGCTTACGTTTTTTCATGTTTGTGAGGTATCGCAATTGATGCATAGGTGCGCTTCGCCTCTGTGTATAAGTATTCTGAGAAAAATTGCTCGAAGAATTTTGTTTTTCCAGCCTTAAACTAGGCCAGTCGTGCTCATTTTGAGCACAATGAGCAAGTCAATAAGTATTTGATGTTTTTCTTAAAGTTCCAATGAAAGTATTGAGATGATATGCAAGCTTTATTTTTTTTTAGGTGCAATATGCCCAGAAAGCCACGAGTTAAATTTTTCTTAAAAATTAAAATTAAGGGTAGAAGCAAGGCTTTTTAGAACAATCTTTGCCTTTTCTATTGAGGCGAAACTTTTGATTCAGGAAAGCATCTGCTCTCTTTTTTTTAAACAAAACGAGGACCTGATACTTGAGGCTGAAACATATTTCACTCATAAAAATACTCATATGTTGGCTGTTTAAACGATCGTATGCTACAGATTCTGACGATTCCGGTAGAAGAACGAAGATATCAGGATAACAACAATGCCCATGCAAAGCAACAAATGGACGCATGTCGGCAGGCTCAGGAAGAATTCAAAGTGAAAGTGGAACTGACTCCGCACAAGGACAGATCTTTGAGTGTTATGATTGCAGGAAGGAGTGATCAAGTGCTCAAAGCACGCAAACTGCTCCTGTCGCGCATTCAAACTCAAGTTCGTAATGTTGTCCTATAATTGCTTAATTTGAGTAAGCGAACTTGAAACATCGAATATCCGAAAGCTAGTCTTGATAACTCGGAACTATTCAAGTTAGAACATTGCAGTCAATGGTGATCTTCGTTTCAGGCGAAGGAGACTATCCATGTTTCAAAAGAGTTTTATGGTGCTATCAAGGGGAAAGGTTCTTTGCGGCAGCGTGAGATTGAGGAGCAAACAGCTACTAAGCTCATCTTCCCGCCTCCGGGCTCACCGGAGGAAAACATATCAATCGAGGGAACAAGGGAGGGAATTGCCCATGCCAAACACAAGTTGGAGATCATCGTCGCCGAACTGGCCAAGAAGGCAACGGAGAAGTTCTGCATTCCAAAAGTATGTACAGTTAATCTTTTTTGATTGAAATCTCAATTTCATTCTCACAGGTGCTTAATTATCGGAATTTGAAAATTTCGAAAAATATTGTCAATACCGAGCTCGAACCAGAGTTTACACCCATATTGTTTTCTTTTGAAAGCTTTGTTTGTGGACCTATATATAAAGTATGAATTGAACTCAACATCTTGTACATATCTGGTCCTACGCATAAACAACCCCGCATGCCTTCGAAAACTGATTTGGTGGTAGCAAATCAGACCCCTAATATAATTAAGCACCTGAAAGTGACTCAAATCAAATGATATTTGAAGAGGTTGGAGGAAAGTCACACTTTACAGAGTTATAAGCAAAATTAATGTTAAGTGTAAAAGAACGAAGTGATTGTCACTGATGCAGGTCGCGTCATGATTTTTTCTCGTTTTTTCATTAGGATAAAGTCTTAAAATTTGTTCAAGCTCAAATTTGGCTTTTCGAGGTTTGACTTTTGATTTCTCTGTAAGTTCAGTTTAGTTCCTTTGTTAATAGGAACGCCAACTGCGCTATGGAACAGTTAACAGTAAAATTTCAAAGTTCACTAAAACTGTGAATGACCTGTAGATTCAAACATGGACTCTAATTTTTTAAAATCAAGAGTTATAAAATTTGAACCTAGACTTTTTTCAGGATAGCGACTTGTTTAATATAAGAACTAGATCATTTGATGTCTGATTTCCAATAGGTTGAAAATCAGTCTTGATCGGTACATTTGTTTTGTTTTGTTTGGGATTTTATTATGGTTCAATTGTCAAGGTTGTTTATCATGTCTGAAGATAAAGCGTTTGTTTCTAGACTGACTTATTGTAAGATTTTGTTTCATATCAGTGCTATTTTTCGTGTGTCAGGAACTTAACGTGATAACTTCCTTGATTCCAAAATCAATCAGGCTGTGATTGAAACAAGAGTTGAAGTGAGAGCTCGTTCTCACATTCTATCATTACCATGACACATGATTCTATACGCGATCTAACGATCTCAAAACGAACGACTTGCCATTAAGACTAAGTGCCTTGTTTGTATTGTACTTAGTGTCTTTGACTGTTGCACTTTTCCCAAGTATTATTCTCAAGGTATCGTAAGATATTTCTCAGTGAATCTTATGACATACGGCGTTTCATGCTCGTTCCTATTTGTGAGAGAACCAAATTTATCCTTAGTCTGGGCTGCAATTGAATTTCTAAACTGCATTGTTTTTCAATATTTTTTAATGTCAGGTTGATAGTTTCAAATGTTCAAGTTGGCAGCTTGAAATGTTTATTATAAAGTTGATGCAGCCGGCATTTTGTGCGATGATGTGAAATGTGCGATGAGAAATGGCGGTCTTTAGTGATTAACAATTGGAAGCATAATTTCGAAAGAAAACCAGCAGACTGTTCGTAAAACCATAATTTCGATGAAGAAATTCAAAAAAAATGAGCAATCCAAAAAAAATTTTGGAAATCGATATTTTCTCTGCAGTTTTTGTTGGTTTTTTTTCTAAAGTTATAGTCGACTTAAACTAGGTAAAACTGCAGAAAGAGAGGTACTTTTTGCTTAAAAAAATAACTTAAAAATACAGTAGATTTTAATTGATTACCACCAAAATTGTGCTGCCGTCGCGAAAATTGGTCTGAAAATTGTAAAAGTTTTTGTTTACATTGAGACAACTGTTTCGAATTTTTTTTTGGATTACAAATCACAGCTGAAAGGGCTTTGATGTGATACTAGACTTTACCACCGTCGAGCTTTCCTTGAGGTAGTTCAAATCGAGACGAAAAATATATCTTACGACATAGTTCCTTCCCACCCAGTTTTGAAAATTACGAAAGTATAAATCAATTGTAGAAAAATTTCAATTAAGTTTCAGTTATGCGCTTGTTTAATGAAAACCAATTTTTAATATTTTTGTTCGGTCTTTTTTCTTCCTTTTTGAAGGCTTATTTTTGCCAGTTTTGTTTGTGTTTCATGGTTGCTAACATCTGTTGCATCAAGTTTTCATTTTGGCTTCATTGTAAATGTGGTTGAAAAGATACGGTTTTTGTTTGCGCAAGTAAACGCATGCAATGAGCTGAAAGCATTGTGTTGGCATGGAAATTCGAAACAATATTAAGCTACCAAGTGTTAACCTACAATTATATCACTTGCCTGGGAGTTTCTAATTCACAGCATGCGAAAAACATGCTGTTTAAGCTGAATCATCCCAAATGATTTTAAAAAATTCCGGATGTGTATTGTCTAGCATCATAGATTTCTGAGGATTTTTTATGTAGTAAGTTTGAATTGAAGTAAAACATATAATTTGCTATTTTTTGTTTGAAAAAAATGTCCTGAACTTCATATAATTTATGGTCGGCAGAATCAAGGTGTCACTGACAATAAATTAAACGATTAGTCCTTTGTCTTTACTGTTTATTTTCTTTGGTATGTGTATTTTCAAATGACAGCGATAAGATTTTAAGGGGCTTTGAATTTATTGATGAGCTCTTAGCTTAGCCGCAATATGGCTGGCGTGAATGAATGAATACATACAACTAAGTTAAAGTGGATTACCATGCGTTCTATTGCCCCTGAAAGAAGCTGCCATAGATAATGAAATGACAAATACAATAGTTGACTAATCTAAACAACTGTGACGTTTAAGCGCACCTTCAAGTCTAATTTTAGAGGCGTCTCACCATTTTTGATGATTAATATTGTACATGATGCGAACGCTGTTTTTGGTTGTTATTGAAATTAGATGTAAGTCAGCCAGTATGAAAATCAATTAAAAGAAGAACTTCTTAAAACTGTTGCTCCTAAAAACTGATCGCGAAAATAAGATCCAACTAAGGAAAGCTGATTAAGGGACTAAGAGTATATTTAGCTTAGGCGTTCACTTTAAGCCTCAGATCGAGTTGTCGATCCCTGCCATGGCAATGATAGTATGCGAGGACGCGCTCTCATTTGACCTCTAGCTTCATTTGACTTCTAGCTCATTTGACCTCTAGCTTCATTTGACTTCTAGCTCATTTGACCTCTAGCTTCATTTGACTTCTAGCTCATTTGACCTCTAGCTTCATTTGACTTCTAGCTCATTTGACCTCTAGCTTCAGTTTTACCACAGCCTGACCGATTTCGGCTGCAATAGTGGTACCACGTGAAAGTTCTAGTTGCAAAAAAAGAGCTTCGCTCAGCAAACTAACTGTCTGGGTAATAATAGAAACGGACTATGCTGAGACAGGCTGGATATTTTTTGCATATGAGGCCCAAGTAAATTATTTGTCCATTTTCAATGTTGCTGGGTGGAACAAAACTTTTTTTGAAAATCTTACTGTGTTAATTTAATGGCACGTGGTTGGGAGTAAGAGAAGTTGGCAGAGCCTCTAACTTTTAAGCGAAATGTTTGTGGATCGAGTTCAAGGATGGTCCGGTTTGTTGTTTTAGGTGGTAAGACAGTTTGTTTTTGTGGCTTAGAAAACTACCTAGAATTTGCGCATATGCGTTAACTTGGATTACGTCATCATTTTATCCTTAGAGATCAGAATCTCGTACTTTGGTCATTATTTCATGAATAAATTTTTTAATAATCTCTAGACGTCTGAAAAGAAGACTAATTGAAAGTTTTCCTACATGTCATTTACTCGCAATGATTTGTCGCCAACATGCGACTCGCTACGCCAACTTACATGCAATCTTCGATCGAATAATGAACCTTCAGTCAAATAGTGAACTCTGTGTTATCTTTCGCACTTAACCTATTGATACTGTCTGCAGGTCTACCACCCGTTCATCAGTGGCGCCTTCAACCGCCAGGTGGAGCAGTGGCAAGGGGACCATGGCTGCAAAGTGAACATCCCCCCAGTCTCAGTGGACAGTGACGAGATAGTGCTGAGTGGGAACAGAGACGGAGTAGCGGCTGTGAGGAACGAGATCTACAAAGTAGTGGCCGATTTGAATAAGAATATGGGCAAGCTAGATGTCCAGATTGACAAGGTTTGTTGTTGTTAACGGATTTGGTTATTCCTAGCTAGAACGTAGTTTTTTTTACCAGGAGCCCATTAGGCAATACGAAAACAGCTACGTTAATTGTGCATCGATTTTTAAGTAAGTTTTTTTTTTTCTGTTAACTTTCGTTGTACTGTAAGCGTTCGGTGTAAAAAAAAGATTTTTTTTTTGTATAATTTGAGGTATTTTGATTTAAGATAGTGACATAGATTTAAAGGACAGCGCTAAATTACTCCAAAATTGCTTCAAGTTTTCACTGTATTTTTCAATTTTGCTTTGGCCTACACATTTGTGTGCAGACACTCATGCGAAGTTGTCCTAATTGACTTTTTAAAATGATTATAGGCTAAACACAAGTACATCATCGGCCAGAGGGGACGTGGAATCCAGGAGATCCTTGAGAAGTACAGTGTGTCTGTGGAAGTGCCTCAGCTGGACAGTTCCAGCAACAACATCACCCTCCGTGGCCAGCACCAGAACCTGGGCAAGGCTGTCTCGGACGTGTACGACAGGGCCGAGAGCTACAAACTCGAGAAGATCCACTGTCCCAACTGGCTTCATAGGTAAAGAAACTAAAGAAAGAATTGATTTGTTTCCTAAATATACGCCAGCTAACAGACATCTACTTGCCAAATACTCAAGTAAACGGAACCCGGCGTTGTTAGAGATAAAGTATGCAATTAAAGCTTCTTTTAAATCTGTTACAACTTTTATGCCACAGGCAAAATTGACTAAAGAAGAATTAAGAACGAATGGTTTGAATTAATTAAGTCATTTCAATCATTGAAAAAAAAATGTTGATCGAAACTCATTTAGATTCCTTCAGAAATAGAAGTTTATCAGCTCCGAAGGTTATGCCACGAGACTGATTCTTTCTGGATATATCTGGTTTATTTTTGTTTAGGTACTTGATTGGAAAAGACGGATCGAAGTTGCAGGAGATGCTGGGAGAGAATGTGTCCAAGGTCTGTTGACGCTGATAGCTTTTTAAATGCGAATTCATATAGACAAAACTGATACTGAAATAAGGTTTTTTTGTTCAAATTATATTTTGGTCTTTTAGATGCATTTTGAACTGAGATCAACATCCTAATAACTCATTTTAAAACATAGCAAAAAAGAGAAAAAATGGTTGAATATTTTGGTCTCCTTGTCTGTAATTCATTTTTATTGATGAAATTCGGTTAGATGAAAGTTCGTAAGAAGTGATAACTCGTAGCAGGTGGATAGCAGGGAGAGTTGGAGGGAGGGGATGGGATGGGAATGGGTAAGAAGATCCTGAGGGGCTGTTAATTGTAGGTGCACGTGGAGTTCACAGGTGACAGCATCATAGTAGATGGACAGAGGGAGGTGATGGAAGTGATCTTGCACAGACTGAAGAGTGAGGTTGACAGACTGGTGAGCGAGAAGAGCTACGAGGAGATCAAAGTCGACTCCAGGTTCCACAAACACGTCATAGGCAAGAGTGGCGCCAACATCAGACAGTTGTGTCAGGGAAAACAGGTACGACACAGCATTATTTGGAAACAGTTTCTGTGTTCTTTTATTAATTTACCACTGTTACGTAGTGGCACTTGTTGAGACAATTAAGATCAAGGTGACGTTAATTTATATTTATTTTATGTATCAACTAAAACAGAATTAAATTTTAGTTATGAATTCTTAGGCCTATTTAAGCGAGTAAAGTAGAGCTTTTTGTTCTACTATATTTTTTACGAATTTTCAACAGTATAATGCAGTTTGGGGAAAAAATGGAAAGTCTAATTATTAGCTCAAGCAGATAATTTAATTCTCTTGAGATTCGTTAACATAATAGGCGAGCCTTTTTTTCGATATGTTCAAAAGATGTTAACTTGCATTTAGAGAAAAACATGTAACTAGCATCTTTGGTGAATCTCAAAGACTAAAAAAATATTTAGTATACAGAAATAAACGAATATAATTTGTGTGGTTGTAGGTGCAGATCAAAGTACCGAATGAGATGCAGGATAGCAACATTATCCGAGTGGAGGGAAACAGGGAGGAGATGGTGTCTGTGATGGCCGAACTGAGGACACTCGTGAACCGAGTGGAGAACGAACGGTCCGAGGACGTCAAGATAGAACACAGACTACACAGGTTAGTGTGATAAGTTGAAGGTGAAAAATAAGTTCATGTGCTCAAAATTTTTAAGGAGCTGTCTCGTGAATGATATTTTCATATGAAAAGCTATTTTTGAAGTCTTGATTTGTTTGCTTGGTGTTTATAATGAATAGGATACTTCTCAGTTTAAAACTGATGTTACTCTGAGCAATTTTTCAAAAAATAGGGTACAAAAACGGGCCTAGGCCAAACATCCGATATGTCAAACATCCGCTATGACAAACACTCAAACTTATCTGATAATTATGTAATAATATGACGTTAGAATTCGAGAAACAAGACATAGTTCAATTAGCGGACTTGAAGTTAGCCGACTCTCGGTTTAAAGTGATCGGTGACCGCGCTATGAGCGCGTCGCCGTTTTTCGGCGATAACCAGCTCTAATTCTCATATGGAGTTCTACCATCTGTTGGCGAGCTCGAAACACGTTCGCGACCGCGGTGGCCCGCATTCTTTCGGCCACTACAACATATTTTAAGCGAACGGTAGAAATCGGACATTTGAAGTTTTTTCAGAAAACAAGTCAGTTTTTTTTGTTTGCTTGCGCTCATTGCTCTTCTAACTGTTAGTTGGCTATGTTTTATTGTGCACCAGTAACAGTTTGCTACCGGCAGGTTTATAATGAGCTCAGAGTAATGTTTTTGGTTCAATTATGATAGTCTGGTCGCATCTATATTTCACCCAAAGCACTTAAGGGCTTCTTAAATCTGTCAAATTGTCATGTTCTCTGTTTTCATTGTTTTGCTTGTAGGCTGATGATTGGTCAAAATGGAGAGAACATCCGGAAGTTGCGAGACGCCTACCCGGATGTGAACATCAACTTCCCAGAGAACAAGGGGGCCAGCAACTCGGTCGTGGGCAAGAGTGACTTCGTCAATGTCAGGGGACCCAAAGACCAAGTGGAGAAATGTATGCAACAGCTGAAGAAAAATGCCAAGGAACTGGTTAGTGTTCTTGTTCATAGCGAACATTATTAAGGGTCGGTGGACGTAGTTCAGACTCTTATATAGGTCATGATGATTTTTTTTTTTTCGTTTTTTCGGAAAAGTCTAAAATTTGTTCAGGCTCGAATTTACTTTTTGCGGCTTAACTTCTTTTGAATTCAGTTTGTTTGCCTTGTTCAAATGAAGGCAAACTCCACTATCGACCGACTTCTAATTTCGAAAATGGAATTTAATCATCAGATTCCCCAGCGAAGTTAACATTTTACCTATTGATGCCGTTTTTCAGTATGTGTGCAATTTAGTTTGTTTCCGGTAAATATTGAATTGTGGCTGTTTGTTTTATGCTCACGCTTTGTCGGCTTAGATGCCAAGTCACGGATTTAGCTTGTGCTGTTAGCAACTTGAATTGTAGTTGCAAGTGCAAGTGTTGTTCAACGTAGTTTTAGGGGTACTTTTAAAAATTTGTTTAAATTTTTTTTTCGACTCAACTGACGTCTGCTCAAAGAATGTCGGCTTTGTTGAAACATACGGATTTTTCGAGATCTGAAGCAATTTTCTTTGAAGGTGCAAGTGTTGTTCAATGTAGTTTCAGGGACTTGAAAATTTTTAAATTAGTTTTTTTTCGGCTGCACTTGTATCTGCTCAAACATTGTCTACTTGTTTTCCTCTTCGTTCTGTAGCTGATTTGTTATTCAAATTTCTGGCATCTTTGCCTAAATGAACTTCTATCGAGGTGGACTTACGAAAATTTTTGTTTGTATACCTTGTTTTTTTCAACGTTTTTTAATTCTTTTTCTACTTATGTTTGTGCTTGTGTTGTATCGCAAAAGATGTGAAGCTCCTTGGTGATTTAGGAAGTTTTTTCCGTTATTAATTAACCTACCCGGCTTTGGAGAGAATTTCTTCGATGCGTGGACTTACACTGAAACACGAAATGTAAAAATTGAGCCACTATAGTTTATAACTTCTTTGTCACAATTGGACCCAACTATGTTTGAAAAAAAAAACCTAATGAGTCAGCGTGCCAATTTTTTTCAAATTGAAACCAGATTTTATGAATAAGATGTAACAAGAATGCTTGTATCAGGGCGAAGCATCAGGGCTCGTATCAAGGCGGATTTTTAAGGTCTATTGAGCAGTGATAACATGAAAAAATTAAATGTAAAAAAGATGAAATGAATTTTTTTTTAATTTGAGATTTATTTTGTGGAAATTATCCCCCCACACGCCATATAAAATGTAAAGTGATATATTTTGCTCCTTGTAACGAATCAATTATGGCAAATAAGCTTCCTTCAACCAATTTGGAACGATTTCTGAGACATATTAAATCTCCGCTGACGCGTTAATAGCGCGAAATATATCGCGGGTTAATTGTCCCAAATTGGCAATCTTTAAAACCCCATAACTTTACGAAAAATGATCACAGGTAAAATATCTTTTCAAATTTAAGCTCAGAACAACAATTCCTTTTGAATGATATAGAAAATTCTCGTCAAAAATGTTCAGTTAAAAAGTCGAAATTTGCCTGAAGAAAAGAATACATCCCGAGCACAAATATTTTATTACTTTCGTTACGAAAGTCGGGAAAATAACAAGAAGAAAAGCACAGAATAATTTGACCAGAATAGCAAGTAGCACAGAAATGTTGACAACCTTGATAAAGTATTTCCTTTGTTTAATCAGCGTAGTCAAAGCATTTTTTGCTACTTCAGTAGAAAAAAAAACTGAAAAATGTAGCAATTTTTTATTTCAGTGAGCAGCGAATGAGTTGATTAAAAACTGCAATTTGAGATGATAGCAACCGAAATAGTTTTAAAATAGAAATTGGATTAAATTGAGAGTTAATTCTCTCATGCTGTGAGTACAGTCTCTCATTCTTATCGGTCAAAAAAGAGTAATAAATAAAATTTATAATTGAAAATAAAAGGCTTGATATAATATTTGATAGTCATAAGATAAATATTAAGTGAGATAAATAGTAAACGGAATAAAAAGTTTACCTTCTGATCCAGTTTTCTCAAGTTGCGTTAATGTTATTAAAAAGCGACAATCATAAATCGTTCTAGAAATTCAAAGAGCTCAAAGGGATTTGAAATTCAAAACATGAGATTTTTTCAACAAAGTCAGTGTTTTTTTTATGTTTACTTGCGTTCATTACTCTTTTCCAATCTTCGATTGGCTATGTTTTTTGAAACTTTTTCACTTTTCTCGAAAACTTTTCTGCCAGATCCAAGAATAAAGGTTCAACTGGTAGAACAGATGGTAGGAAGTTTGTCTGCATAAGCAGCAGCACCCCAGTTTTTGTATTTAAATGGTTTCCGGCTTATTTTGAAAGTCCATTTTTGAAACTTTGACCGTTTTCGGGAAACTTCTCACTTCCCGAAAAAAAGCTTGTAAATCTGAGATTGATGAGTTCAATCAGTGTTTACTCCTCAATGAACGCCAGTAAACATAAAAAAAACACTGACTTTGTTGAAACAATCTCATGTTTTGAATTTCAAAGAAAAAAAACAGATGCCATTTGAGCTCTTTAAATTTCTAGAACGATTTATGATTGGCGTTTTTTAATAACCTTAACCCAAGCACTTTTGTGCGAGTATTCTCTGCGCGAACCCAGTTTTTGGTGGAAAAAATTATGGTCTGAGAAATATCCAATTTTAGAATTTTACCCTTTTTTGGAAACGTTTTGATGTGGTAGGTTGAATTAAAAGGTGCTAGAAATTTTTAAAAGCACTTTCAGAAAAATTTTAATGCAGTTTCATTTTGATACTTTTTGAAAATTACGATTACCCTTCGAAAAAGTACTAATATATCTAAAATATTTCAAACTTGTATCTCTAGCTTTAGCTGGGCTCCTAGTTTTAGTTTTAAGGGTTATTCATTCAACGCTTCGCCAATTAAGATCCTGTACAATTTACAAAAATTTGCTGATACGAGCTTGATTTGTTCGTAGGCTGAGAACAACTATGAGTTATCGGTGTCAGTGTGCAAGAAGTACCACAAGAACATTATCGGCAGAGAGGGCGCAACCATCAACCAGATCCGAAAGGACGCCAACGTGCGCATTGAGATGCCCCCTGTGCAGGATAGTGGAAGGGGAGGCGGAGGGATGTCTGGTGGGGGAGACAGTGACGCCATCCGCATCATAGGCAGACGAGAGAATGTTGAGAAGGCAAAGAAAAAGATACTGGAAATTGAGAGTCAACAGGTAAAGGAAAAGCATATAAAAATAATTTCACTTTGATCCATTACATAAAATAGATCAACTAAAGTTGCATAGTTTTCCTGTTCATTTTTAGAAAATCATAGAAACATTGGAAATTATGTAACTGCAGCAAGGTTGAGTCCCTTTTTTACCGGTTCTAAATTTGTTGCCTTTGAAATGTTTAGTTTGCCATGTGTAATGTCTCAATGTGGATGATTTTAGGCCATACTCGCTGATGCGGCTGTGAGTGTCTATTAATTCCCTCCCTCCTATCTGTTGTGCTTCTACTCTAAGTTAAATGCATACATTATATAGTTAAGGATCTATTTATTAATCCCCCTGTATCATCCATTATGCGTTTTCGTCGTCGTGCCCTATAAAAGACATATTCAACCGTGACCAGTGATGCGTGCCCAGCAATCGTCTGATTGCGGGTTCAAATAGCAAGCTCTTAAGTAAGCCATAGCTTATTTCTGGTTCAATGGGTAATCATCGCGTTCGGTCTCCGTCTGGTTAGCTAAAAAAAAACGTTTAAATAGAGGGGAGATTGTTGAAGAGATCCATTGTTTCATCCGGGTGACGTTGTGACTGTTTTTGTGTTTGCAGGCAAATATCATAGAGAGAAGCATTGACATTCCATTCAGACAGCACAAGGCTCTAATTGGCAAGGCAGGCGCGCACATCAAGGCCATCGTGAACGAATGTGGCAGTGACGTCACCGTCCACTTCCCACAGGACGGAACCAACCAAGTCCAGATCAGAGGCGACCGCAAAGAGGTATGGTCATGAGATACTAGAACAAGGATATCAGTTGAACTGCTAGTAGCACTGGCTGTTCCGACCACAGTAATCAATGTTTACACTTGCGAAGCCAGTGCATTATTTATAGAGGAATTAAAATCCCTCAATACCATTGTTGTACATCTATGATTGTAGTTTGTGGCGTCTGATTTTTAACATGGAAAAAGAGGAAGAAATGGGTATTTGAATTCGTTTGGCTGGTTTCTGCCAATAGAAAGCTATTTGAGCGGCTGATTATACAGATGGTTATGTAGAATTTCAATTTAAGAAAGCATTCATTTGTTAGGCTGTTAGATTTTTTTTTAAATGTGGTCCAAATTTTTGAGCTCTAATTTGTTATTCGATAGGTCGAGAAAGTTGTGAAGCGACTAGAAGACGAGGCGAACAAGATCTGCGAGGCCACTGAGGACTTGCAAGTGAAGCAGGAGATGCACCGCTTCCTCATTGGACGAGAGGGCAGCTACGTAAGGAAGTTGCAGGAAGAGTCGGGAGGGTGCGCTATTCTGTTCGATAACAACTCTGAGGTCATCACACTCGCGGGGTCGAAGGAGGCCATTGCAAAAGCAAAGAAACTGATATCGGCTAGAGTACAGCAGCTGGTAGGTCGATTTGTACCTTTGCATGAAAAAAGAGGCCTCTCGAATCCTCTAAATATGAGCCTCATTTATACACATTAACCTTTGGTTAACCGTTGCTGATGAGGACAAAATGTGTTTATAGTGTTGTAAGAAATATGGATCAAGTATGATAGACGGGTCCTTAATAGTAATGGAGTCCTTACAGAAAATTAACCTTCAAAAGTGCTATAGACAGAAGAAGAGTTTTTATTAAGAGTCAATGAACGCAGTAAAGACTTTTGTTAAGAGTAATGAACGTGGTGAGTACTCTTATAAAGGTCTTGATTTTTTTCAGGAGAAAGTATTTAAATTTGTCCACGCTCAATGTTGATTTTTTTGGGGTTTGACTTGTGATTTCTTTTTAAGTTTAATGCATTTTCATTGTTAAAATGAAGGCAAACTCCGCTATCGAACATGAAAGTAGTAAAGGTTTACGAAAAACGTGATCGACTTCTAGTTTCGAACGTAGATTTTAGTTTTCAGATTTCTCAGCTGAATAAAGTAGAACCCGTTTTTACAGATGCGAGCGTAGAGCGTAGTGTAATAGGTGCCGGTTTTGGTGGAACTTTATGGCTGTTTGATAGCTTCTGCGTTGACATTCGATAAGTAATAAGTTGAAGCATTTAATTTATCGAATTAACCGAAAGAAGCGATTTATTTCAAACAACAGTGTTGCTGTTTGTTTCAAACAACAGTACAATAAAAAACTGCATTTCAGAAGTTTTTCAACTCAAATTATCTCGCAATTTTTTAAATGCATGATTTTGGGCTTTTTGCTTTCCTATTTGTTGCATCCGAAGTTAGCTCGTGTCTACTTGTATTTGGTGCAATTTTTGCATGATACTATTAGCAATTTATTAAGAGTCGATGAATTTAGTTCAGACTCTATCTAGATCGTTATGATTTTTTTTGTTTTTCAGGAAAGGTCTTCAAATTCTCTGAAGATTTCAGAAGTGCATTCACACATATTAATGCATTTATGATTGCTCTTATGAATATGTTCACTTTAGTTAAATTCAATTTCCTTTGCTTGCAAAATTCACTCTCGGATTACGAAAGAATAAATGGTGCAAAAACGTGATCGATTTCTAGTTTCGCAAGTGGAATTTAACTTTTAAATTTCCCAGCGGAATTAAAATTCACCTAACACTCATGGTTTCTCAAATTGAATTAAGTTTATCATAAAAGTGTCAATCATAAATTATTCTAGAAATTCAAAGAGCTTTAAGGCCATCTATTTTCTCGGAAAAAAAAAGACGAGGTTTTTTAAAAACAAATCAGTTTTTTTCTGTTTACTCGCGTTTAGTGAATTTTTTCCAAGTGTCTGTTGGTTATTTTTAAGCGTCAATGAACGTAGTTTAGGCTCTTATGTAGGTCGCAATGATTTTTTTTCATGTTGTTTTTCAGGAAGGTCTTAAAATTTGTTCTCGCTCAGATTTGATTTTTCCTTGTTTCACTGTTTTTTTTATGTTCAAATTATTTCCCATGTTAAATTGAAAACAAACTCCGCTATCTACCATGAAAAATGTAAAGGTCTCGAAAAACGTGATCGACTTCTTGTTTCGAAAGTGGAATTAATTATTAGATTTCCCTGCGAAACAAAAATTTTACCAATTGATCCAGTTTTCTTAAATTGGACTAATTTCATCAAAAATTTTACCAATGATCTCGTGAAAGTCAAAGCTTTAAGTGCATGTATTTTTTCTTTACATTAAAATTGAAATTTTACTTTTCATTTTTCTTTTCGAGCTGCTTTTCTTTTCCGCTGGTCATGTTTTGAAATTGAAATTCAAAGGTGGGGAAAGTGGGTACTACTATGATAGAGTAAAGCATGTAATAATTTTGGGTCCTTCGAAAAAGCATGTAATAATTTTGAAAACTAATTTGTGTATACATTATTCATTTCAAATATCTCGCGAAATATGTTGAGTCAGAAACTTCTCAGATTAAAAATTGTAATTACTACATCAAGAAATTTGCTCACTTCAAATTATTTTACAGTTTAACAACCATAATTGGATAAACTTATTTTTGTCATCAAAACATAAAATTTGTTTGAAAATATACTGCGTTATCTTTCTGAATGGCGAAATCATAATTATTAAACAATTTGAGAGCTCTAGGTGTCTTATTTTCAAGGTACCACTTCATCATAGTAGTACCAAACTGACAACATCTAAGTGTTGATGACAAATAAGTCAACCCAATTATGGTTGTTAAAATAAGTTGAAGCGAGCATATTTCTTGGCAAGGCGCCTTGGCTCTTTTTCCTTTTCCCCCCACCTGCAATTTTTTACAGGTAAATTTGTTGACCACATTGTCCGATTGTTATGAAAATATACATACAGACCAATAAGGCCACGACAAGTATATTTGGTCTTCATACTCAAACTCGCAAAACCACTCGTTACACTAATAAGTTGAAACTGGCGTGAGGTGGGGGGGGGGGGGGGGGAAGGAAAAAGAGCCGGCGCCTTTTTGAACGTGGATGTCGTAAATTTATACCAAAGGGCGGACCCTTTGGAAAAATTTGGCAACCAGAATTGAGCAGAAAATTTTGCAACCAGAATTGGCAACCCCCCTTCGACACGCTACTGATTATAGTAGTTAGTACCCGACTACTCACTTGTACAAAACAGCAAAATCAAAGTCTGGTGAATCAAAACAAAATGTTCCTTATTTGAATGTTTGTGTTTAAGGAAAGTACAGTGGAAAGCGAGATGGAGATAGAGCCGAGACTCCACCGCTACTTCATGCAGAACAACCGCAGAGTGTTGGGTCAGGTGATGGACGAGTGTGGGGGAGTGCAGATCAGTTTCCCCCCTCTCGTCTCCAACCCCACCCCCACCAACCCCCAGTCAGCAACTGTCAAAGTGAAGGGACCGGCCGAGTATGTGACACTGGCCAAGACTCGTCTCGCCGAGATCGTAGAGGATGTCAAAAACCAGGTTGGTTTTTTCTTGTTTGACTTGGATTTCAAGTAACGTAACGTAGGATCTCAAAACAAAAGTATCTGATACATCTATCTGATCAACATTCAACAAATCGTTGAAAAAGAAATAAAAACTAACTGACCCCGACGTGATTCGAACACGCAACCTTCTGATCTGGAGTCAGACGCGCTACCGTTGCGCCACGGAGTCGTTGTCGTTGACGGCTTTGCTCATGCTATGTTCTATCAAAGCTTTGTTATTTTGGCTTTTACATGTGCTGCAGTGTATGTATTGAATTGAATTCTGCAAGCTAAGTTTAAACTTGAAGAATGAAAATATCTTTCTGCCTAAACTCAGGTTGTAATATTAAAGTCAATAGATACGGATAAAATCTGAACGTTGATAGATACGTCGTTAAAATCTGAACCAACAAAGCCTTGATGGAATATGGAATATGATAAGAGCAAAGCAACACCTTTTCTGGTAACTTGTTATTATGTGCATAGAATTATTTGGTAATTATCCGCCGATAGCTCAGTTGGTAGAGCGGAGGACTGTAGAGAGTACTGTGATCCTTAGGTCCCTGGTTCGAGTCCGGGTCGGCGGAAAATATCTTTTGCATTTCTCAACTTTTTTCTACAACAAATTGAAACATAAATTATTTTGCGGTACTACTATGATAGAGTGGTCCCTCGAAAAAGCAACTATGATAGACAGGTCCCGAATGCATTTCGCATGTTATAATTTTGAAAACTAATTTGTGTATAAATTATGCATTTCAAAAATCTTGCAAAACATGTTCAGCCAGAAACTTTTCAGATTGAAAATTGTAATCATTTTTGTTTATGTATTGAAATTTGCTCGCTTTACTTTATTTTACGGTTTAACAACCAGATAATTGGGTTGACTTATTTGTCATCAAAACCCACTATTGGCGGTTTTTTTTAAATTTTCAACCTTAAAATGGTGAGGGGGAGGTTTTACGAGGTAACAAAACATGAAATTTGTTTGAAAATATACTGCGACATATTTCTGAAAGGCGTAGTCATAATTATTAAACGATTAGAGAGCTCTAGGTGTCTTATTCTCAAGGGACCTGGTTATTTTCAAGGGACCACTATCATAGTAGTACCTATTTTAGTAGTAGTACCTATGTTAGTGGTCAACTAACAAATTAAAAAAAGAAAATTCTTATTTGCAGGCAATTAAATTGAAAGATATCACTAGATATCTTTCTGAATCAATTGAATTGGACAAAGAGGTCTTTATTAATCAGTTCAATCTTTCTTCTACGAGCGAATGTTTTAAGCTCCTCAAAACTCTCGGTTATAATTCTGCCCTTCCATCCATCATGTATCACGGCAATATTTCCTTGACAACTGAACTCGAAAAAGCTACTGGATTCAACAAGTTCTTCGCTTCAGTTTTCAATGACCAAGAAATGTTCACACTGCCAGACTTGTTCTCCAATGTTTCGATTTGTTTAAACGATCTTAACTTATCATTACCTGATATTGAATCATTTTTGAATTACTGTCCTGACACTAGTAATACTGGTCCGGATAATATTCCCTCTTTCGTGTTATCTCACTGCTCTGATATCATATCACCCCTCGTTTACGATTTATATGCCTGGATATTGAAACACAAAAACTGGCCTAGTCAGTGGAAAACTTCTTTTGTTACCCCTTTATACAAATCTGATGCTCGCAATGACATTACTAACTACAGACCAATTAGTATTTTACCACGAATTTCCCTTATCCTGGAAAGAATTCTTTTCAACTTTATTTATCCAAAAGTTAGACATCTAATCAAACGTCAGCAACATGGTTTCATGAAGTCGCGCAGTACTATCAGCCAATTGATCATCTATCTCGACTCAATTTATTCTTCCTGCGATAAAAATTCTCCTGGACTAGCCATTTACTTTGATGTGAGAAAAGCTTTTGATTCAGTACCGCATCATTTGTTACTTGCTATACTTGTTATACTCGGCTTTGATTTTGAATTTCTCCAGTTGTTTGAATCTTATCTGACAAACCGGTATCAATGTGTGCTAATAAATCAATCAATTTCGTCTCCTCTGCCAGTTACCTCGGGCGTTCCTCAGGGGAGTGTTCTCGGCCCACTTCTGTTTATTTTATTTATAAATGATATGACCGATGATGTGTTAAATAGTGAATTTTATCTATTTGCAGACGACCTGAAGATTTATAGCTCATCTGCTCCATCATTAGTTCAAAAAGATATCGATTCTCTTTTTAATTGGTCAACTAACAATCACTTACAGTTTCATTCTGCCAAATGTAAAGTTCTGAACTTTGGTGGTTATGATGATTCTATCCAATTCTTGCTCGGATCAGACATCTTACCATTTGTTGATGAAATTAAAGATCTTGGTATCATAGTCTCCAACAATCTTTCCTGGAAATCCCATCTGAATACTAAGTTGATAAAATGTTCCAGATTGTTTTATTTTCTGAAACGAAATATTCCTTTCTCGGTATCCTGCAGTCGAAAAAAGTTACTTTACAATACTCTCATTCTGTCAATCTTACTTTACGGTGCTCCTGCATGGTGCCCTTCTTTGACACTATTACATCAGCTTGAACTGTTCCAGTACAAAGTTCTAAGATGGATCAAGAAATGTTCATCGTATGTTTCAGGGCTACTAAATCTGAATATGCTTCCAATTAGCTATGTATTGATTAGAGTTGAAATTCTTCTACTTTGGAAGCTCCATAACAATGTTATTGATGTTGACTGCAAAAGTGCAACCAGCTCGCTTCCTACGCGTTCCGCTACGAGTGGCCTATTCGTCATACCGAACACGAGGAAATTGAAAACTGACGATAACTTCTTTGTACGAGCTCCCCGTGCTGCCAATGAACTTCTGCGTCTGAAAATTATATCTTTCGACATGCCCCTGGGAATGTTCAAATCAAAACTGAATAAATTTTTACTGCTTAAAACTTCAACTTTGTTTGATATAAACAGATCATGCACATTCTTTGTCAAATGTTTTTGTAAAAATTGTCGATCGTAAGTTCATTCAATATTTATATTAACCCTGTATCCACCAATGGAATTAAAGTCTTTTACTACTACTACTACTACTACTATTTTGCTGTTTTTCTACAGACTTGGGATTACATTGAAATTGAGCCGATGCATCATCGAACTATCCTGGGCAAGAGTGGATCGAACGTACAGCTGATTGAGAACGAATTGAACGTGAGAATTAAGTTCCCGGACCAGCAGGGTGGTGGCGGCCGCTCACAGCAGGGAGACTCACCCATCCACAATGCTCAACTGAATGCTCTGGCTCTCGCAGGCGGATCCAAACCTCCTCCTCAACAACCCAATCAGGTTTGCCTCGTCTGTAGTTTGACAGATAGGAGCTCTTTTCTTTTCCACTCCCCCCCCCTTCCGACACCTTTGAATTTCCGACACTTTTGACACTCTTTTGTCATAATGCATTGAAAGGAGCAAGTTAACATCCTCCCCCCCCCCCCCCCCCCCCCCAAATCCATTTAGGGGGAGGATGTTAACTTGATCCTCCAAGTTAACATCCTTCCCCCAAAGCCGGGAGGGAGGAATGTTGTTAACTTGATCCCATTGAAACTTGGCATGATGAACAAAACTAACAAGTGTGAATAAACTTGTTCGGCTCTTTTCCTCTCCACCTGCTACGGATTTTCGCCAAAAGATAGAATATTGGCGCCTTTAGAAAACTTTTAAGGTTGGTCAACCGAAAATGAATACGCCGACGCCCCCCTCCCCGCTGTTCATGCGAATCGCAGAGGAGCTGTCAGTAATAAAGAGTTAAGATGTACCACTGGTAACTATTGTATCTAACTAAAGTTGAAAGAGAATAAAAGTATTGGTTGAATTAAAACCGACTGTAGTCTAAAAAGAGCAACTAGTGAGTCGAAGTCCACTGGACTTCATAGAGTTAACATTGACTGGTACGTAATTAGGTAAAAGAGGTCAAGGTTATAACATACTAAAAATACTGAATCACAACATTCCCCAGTGCACAAAAATTAATATCTGCCCGCTCAACGATGTAGCCAATATCACACATATACTCCATCTCCCCTCGCTCCACCAGGGCCAAAGAAGAAACAAAACGTAACCGCATTTAGCACCAATGGATTTTTACAGAGAGTACAAGTTACAATGGAGGTAATTATATGGTAATATATACATGCTACTTACAGGTTTACACAGATATCAACAACTGAATGTACAAAATGATATGTACAATTGGGGTTATGTGGCATTTGTACAATTAAAGAAGACTAACTAACTCACTAACTAGGTAAATACTAAAAAAAAGTTCTGGGTATCCAATGGATAAAAGCTAAATCAAATACGTAACATGTCATGTTACCACAGTTTAAAAGTTTTCGGAGTTTGAGACCGTAGAGTTGTATCTAGTATGGAAATTATCTGCTTCTATTCTTACATCGGTATCGATGCCCGAGGATATGTCACTAACGTTGTCATCCTGAGTATTACTGGTAACTTCTACCAATGGTGACGATACCCATGCGGTCCTTGTCGCCTGAGAGGAAGGTGTTGAGAGTTCGTCTTGAGTGGTTTCAGCAACCAAAATCGTATGAATGACGTGGGATCTCGTCAATGGGTGTAAGATAATCCGAGGGGGACGTCGTACAGAATGAAGGAATTTGTTTCGGACTCTTTGCACCGGAAAACGTAATAAGCGGTTCGTCATCGGAGTCTACTGCACTAATGGTCTCCGTACCGAGCGTCACTTGGTCGATAAACCGTCTATCGCCATAGAATTTCGGGGGGCCTGGGTTTCTTCTTACACGATGTTTTGAAGATATCGGGGTTTTTGGTGTCTCCACTGTCTTCTCCGGAGAGCTATCCACTCGAATTGGGTCGTCGCTTGTGCCCGTTGGTATATTGAATGTTGTCTCAGTGTTTGTCTGGCTTTGTATGGTACTCCTTGGTTGATCTAAATTACTATGAAGGTTAACAGTTGGTGTATTATATACAATTTCCGATTCCGTACCCAAGTAGTCGTCAATGACTTTATCCCAAAGGTCTAACGCTAACGACGAATTTAGATTATTATAGTCGAATTTTGAACCTTTCGAGGTCGTGAAGAATGATCTCCTCTTTTTGCTTGAATTTCCACCCGTTGGTGTGAAAGTCATCGAAGGGCCTCCTATATTTGAGTCTCGTCTCTTGGAAGGGGAGTTTCTTTTTCGCTTGCCTGCTAAATCATTACTATTAATTAGCGCTTTCGGTCTTGCCGTGAAGGTCTTAGGAGCTGCCGGTTGGGTTTTGTTAAAAGCTAAGTCCGATTTTCTTATCACATGTCCGTTATCTAATGTGACCGTATGTTTCGTGTCTGACAAAGGTTTACTCCCCAGTGGTTTAAAATAAGGTTCTCCTTCCCTCCTGTTAACTGTTTTCCTAAACCAGTTACCTCCTTGGCTGAAGGGATTCGACAGTGGGGCTCGCTGAAGATTTCGATCTACTTTGTCAGCGGGGTCGCTCTCATAGCCTCTTTTCTCAATTGTTCTGTCTTCCAAGTAGCCATCTTCGAACGCGTCATCAGCCCCCCAGTCTTGTGCTCTGTCCTTCGTTATGATTGATTTCCCCTTATCTAAACTAATTGCGTGAGAGACCAAAGATTTCCAGAACGTATTGGGAGATCTATTAAAATGTTTTGAGAAAGGAGAGCATCCAATGGATGATTGTTTCGTCGAGCGTATGTTCCAAATAATTTTATCAATAGCCGTATTTAAGGATGGTTTTGGATCGTTGAACGACATTGCCAGAAGCTTAGCTTTGACCGTGTAAATGAGTCTTTCTACTACTCCATTGGATCTATGATCGCCAACCGTACATAGAATTAGATTAATGTTGTTCTTCTCACAGAAGTTTCTAAAATCAAACGAAGTAAAACATGACCCATGGTCGGCTCTAATGGACTTTGGAAATCCGTGAAGATGGCAGTAATCTGTCATGAAGGTTAAAATTGAAGAAGTCGAAGTGTTGTTTACTACCTTCGCAGACGGAAACTTGGAAAAGCGGTCAATGCATAACAAAAGGTATTTTGCGTTACCCCAGCTCTTGTCCAATGGGCCGGCAAAGTCTAAATCTACTTCTTCATTTGGTTCGGTCAGGTTCGGTAATTTCTCAGTCTTGTTCGTCCCTAGTAACACTTTTAGGTTCTTACCGGCCATTATGCACTGAGTGTAATTCTTTCCATGATGGTATATCTCTCTGTGTAAGTGTGGCCACCAAATGTTTTCTGCCAAGGCTTTCATCCCAAACTGCCCTGGATGAGTCTCGTGAAGGAGTGACAGGAAAGGTGATCGTAATGCAGCCGGCACTATCAGTTTGTTATCGTTGAATAACAGCCCTTCTTTCACATGTATATCCCTCTGGAAGTTCTTTAAATAGGCTCCGAATTTGTCCAATGGTTTGCCTTCGTGTACCGCCTTCTTTACTTCCTTGAGGATTTTGTCTTCGTCCGTCATGAGTTTAATCAGCTTATTCGAACAATGATCTGATAGTGATAACGGGTTGTCTGGCAATCTGAGATCTCCCTTGTATTTGGCCAACAGTTTTTTGTGTAGGTATGACATTATGTCGTTATTAAAATTCAAGAAGATTCCTTTCTTTTCTGCCCTGAGGGAAATTTTTAACACGTTGACCGATGTAATAAATTCTTGTAATTGTTTTTCTTGATCTGAATTTAATGACTGATTGATTAATAATACTGATTGGGCAAGAAAGAATAAAAAAGTATGATAGGTAAAAATAATCGAAATCAAATTTTGATAAGTTTAAAGGAACACAACCGCTTGTGCAAGACTCTGAACGCGAGTGATAGGAATTACAAATTCTGATAGTGTAGTTTACGTAATTCAGAATATTCGAGAAGAACGACCGTTGGATGCTTTGTGATAAATCTTTCCTTCCACCCATTGGATTATTACAATCCAAGTTACTAATCGTATTTACATCCAATGGATAATACACTTCGTTCTTTTTACAATTATTCTTTTTACAATCGTTATTTACAGAGAGGTTTTCTACAATCTTTTGTACTGTCGCCACTACAAATTCGCTATCGTAGTGTGATGTAGGGAGTGCTTTACCTGAAGGTAGTCTCGACAATAAATCTGTAAATCCCGTTTCTTTTCCCGGAATGTGCTTGATCTTAAAATTAAATGGTAACAGTCGATTTACCCAACGGGTTAATCTGCTATGCATAGTTTTGTTGCTCTGGTTTGCATTTAATGCTGATAATAATGCCTTATGGTCCGTCACAATTTCAAATTCGGCACCATACAAGTAATTTTTAAAATGTTCTGTAGCCCAGACTACTCCCAACAATTCAAGTTCGTTTGTAGAATATTTACTTTCGTGGTTGTTCAAAAATCGGGAGGCGAATGCTATTGTTACCCAATTTTCTCCATTCCATTGTTCTAGGGTAGCTCCTAAGCCGTTATGGGAAGCGTCTGTCTTTAGTCTTGACATCCTTTTTATGTCGAAGTGGTTGTTCTCTGTTATCTTCACTATCTGTTGTTTTAGTTCTTCAAATGCTTTAGTATGCTCGTCATTCCATTGGTAGACTGATTTCTTCACAAGAAGTGGTCGTAGGGGGGAACTTAGGGCGGACAAATTCGGGACGAATTTCATATATTGATTGATCGATCCAAAGAAAGACCTAAGTTCAGATATGTTTTTGGGGTTTGGTAGGTTTTTAATCGAATCTGACTTTTCCACCAATGGTTTCACGCCCGATTTTGATATCTTGAAACCTAGCCACTCTATTTCTTTTTGGAAGAATGCACATTTCTCCCATTTTACCGCCATGTTCTTGTTGTCCAAAATGTTTAAAATGTTTGTTAGTATCGCTTTGTGTTCATTTAATGAACCTTTCGAAGCTATTAAAATGTCGTCGGTATAACAATTGGTAAAAGGAATGTCTTTCAATAAAGAATCCATTACCCTCTGGAATTCGTTTGGCATATCGCCCAATCCGTAAAATCCAGTTAAAAACCTATAGGTTCCAGTGGTTTCGCCCCCACGATACTAAAGTTACACTGTTTGCTAGTGTCTGTGCATAATTGTAGTTGGCTGTATGCGTTCTTTAGATCTAGATTACTAAACCAAACTTCCCCTGACTCTTTGCTTGACAGTTGAAGAGCAATATTATCGATCAGTTCATGTATGTTTGGCATCTGGTACTTGTTCTTGAATATCTGATTATTTAATAGTTTCGAATCTAATGCCAACTTGATGCTACCGTCTTTTTTTCTTGTAATCACAATTGGGCTTATAAAACAATCTTCATCGCATTTGTTCAACTTTAT